CAAGCATGAAGTGCGTTGGATTACATAGTCAAAGAAGACATTAAATTAAAATGGGCTCAAGGCAGACCCCTGTTGGACTCCATTTTAATCTAAGCTTCTCTTTCGTAATTGGATCGTAAATATATAGTTTATCGTACATATTGTAAAGGAAATCAAGTTTTCTTGTAGCATGATATTATATAGAGCTTCACTGTTGATTGTGTCGTAGGAGTGAGATAAACCAAAAACGACGAAGTTCTTCTTTTCACCTTTATTCTTCATTCTGGTGAGGATTTTCCCTATTTACAACTGAGTCCCCAATTTTCGGGTGAAGCCAGCTTAGTTAGGGTTTAATGTTTGATTATCAATCTGTTTAAAGATTTTCATATTGGTCCGCTCCATGACCTTACAAAGTGACTCTTGATCATGATAGGTCGCACATCATCCACTGTCGCAATCTTTGGGGCAACTTTGTTCAGAAGTACTAGCCTTTATGTCAAGCAATACTCGTTAGTTCCCAATATATCCAAGTCATATAGGCTCCGTCAATATATCTCTCTTCAAATCTCTTTCATCACTAACCGAACCACTTTAAGATGAATGAAATCGTAGGATATCGCTTTGTTATACCATCAGATATATTCATCTCTCTCTCCATCAATTCTTTAATTCCTAGGCTCTCAAGTATTTCTTCATCATCATAATTTTTAATCAAAATCCTTCTCTTTTGCCTCCATGGTCTCTCCTAATATTCTTCTTCTGTCAAAATTCCTGAAATTTCTTCATTTTTTCAAAGCACAATTGTGTAATCATTTGTACTTATTTATGCATTTATTGCTTCCCTCCATTCTTAAAAATATTCACCACTCCTCCTCCTTTTCCTCTGTTACAATCTGGTTAATTTTGTTTTTGAACTTATCTTCCCACTCCACATACTTTGGGCTCCTAAATAGAATTATTCTTTTCTCAAGTTCCTTCAGTGGTTAATAGTTATTCGATATCAAAGTATCTTCTATACCCCTCCTTTAGTAACCATTTTTTTTCATTCTTTTTCCATTCGCAAAACGTCTCTCTCGCCTTCTTAGAATCCAATATCGAGCATTTTATGTTGTCGCTCCTCTTCATCAGCAATACTAATTTCCAAATTTTTATTCTTCCATTCAAGTTTTTTGGATGTTCTTTTCCTTGTTACTAGATCCGACATATATGGAAATAATCAATGTCCTTGGTTTCGAATTAAGATCCGCCCCACTATAGATGGGTGATTCTTATGTCTGTTTAGTAACATCTGGTATTCCTCTTGATTTTGGTTTAGCAAAGGCTCCCAATCAGAATTTAATAGTACCACAAAAAGATTTCTACCACCAACGAATTATGGGTTTCTAGATCCCCTCCTCCTGGTTTAAATCGTAAGGATTACTCTATTCATCAATTGTTTGTTTTTCCTATCTTCGCATGCCATCTACATCCCATAGTCTTTTACAGGGTCTAAATTCCTTTAAACCCCTCATATTAATTCAAATGTGGGTTTT